CACTTTGTCTTTGGTTACCAGGTCCAGTAATGTTAGGGAACACAAAAGTTGACTGTTAAGCTGTGTTTGCTCTATGATAGGACTAATACCCAGTACTAACACAGCGATCTGTCATGCTCTGACAATATCTAGTACCTCTTGGCCAGCTATGTTTGTCCACAGATTACTGCTAGAGGAATAGTTCTTATTTTACTGTTAAAAATATAAAGGATTTTCTATATTGAGCAATATCCAACATTAGTCTCTGGGTTGTTCACTTTCAGATTTTACCATCTTTTTAAGGATTTTTTTTTTCTCTTCCTGTTGTAATATGTACATCACACTATGTGTGCTTATTTTAATTCTAATGCAAATCATTCACATACTGGTAATAGTCTTAGTAGTACACTTGAGAATTTTTTTTATGTGCACCCTCCCACATTAATGTGAATGAATTTGCTTTAATGTTTGATCATTACATTCAAAATAGAAAATGGCTGCTACCCAGGTCAGGGTTGTTGCTAGGAGATATAACAGAATAACAAGATGAGGATAACTATTGAGCAGACATCTTCTGCTAGCCCCCAGGACATTGCTAGGCAACAAGAACATGCGATAATGACATTTCATGATGTGCTACCACAAATCATAGCCACAGTGATTGTCTAGAAGGATTTGGTAATAGCAGAATCACAAATGAATTTGAAAGGAAAATGTCAGCTTCAATTATATAATATCGGCTTACAAGACACATTTTATCGTTGTCACACGAGGACTATTCCTCAAATTGATGTACAACAAAAACATGTAAATTAGATTTCCATTGGCAGATGAACCAATTTTATCGTAATAGCCTTTCATCTTTCTACTGCGTATAAATTTCTGGACGTCATCATTTTCGATTGTTTTAAACATCTGTATTTCAATAAATTTCCCATAACGTATTGATTGTATTTTATGGTTCAAAGGATCTTTAAGCTATTGAAGGAATAACACATTGTAAATAACAAAAATGCAATATTTTTTCTCCATAAAATATTGGTATGTGTAGTTAAGAGTTGAAGAAGTCAGGTGTGTTTTTTATATCTGAAGATTCACATTTCCTGTTTAGAAGAAGATGCACATGTTCTGAAGTATGTTTATATCTTTAAGAATTTATAAAATGGAGCCCCGTGGAGATTTGAGTTTGCACTTGTTAATTAATGGTAGCCTGGCATTCTTTTGAGTTTTCCCGAAGAGCCTGGAGCTCTTGAGTGAGGGATGATGATAGGATTAAGATTTCATTATCAAAACAGTTAGGCTCTGGTGTGATTTTCAGGACCTGTGTAATATTGATTTAATGGCATTGGAATCTCCACATTGCATCAAATAAGAAGCAAAAAATAATTATAGATGGCAGGGCTTCCAAGTATATCATAATGGGAAACCAACAAGGCTCTCATGCAATTAGCCAAAACATCGATTTAATTTTTTTAAAATCCATAATCAGTTGTCTGTGGTAATTAGTAAACCAATTTCAAGGTTTATTGGAAGTTATTATTTAAAATTATTACTGGTCATGTTTTTATCAGCATAGTCAGAAAGTAGCTACAAGATATAGAGTCAAGTGGTATTTTGTGGTGTTGATTGGGAATGGTGATCTACCATGGTGGATCCCTGTAGCTACTGTGCTTAATCATGCAGATTGTTGATAATTTGGAGATGGGAAGCCATGTTTCTAGGCGCCTAGAACACCGACCCCTTACTGGGATCCATTATGGCCCTAAGTAAAATAGGTAATCTTGGGATAGAAGAGATGATATACTAGAAGTAAAGTAATGTGCACTCCTGTTGACTAAGCTGGAGATATGTGTGGATTAAATCCTGATAAGCAGATGATAAGGCACAGTATTGGCTGTGTCAGAATTCTGAGAACAGGTGCTTTTTTGATGATATCACAGACTGCATGCAAAAATTGCCAGAAAGTGATGCCAGTAGCCTATGGATTTCCAATGCTAGGTTCTGATACAGCAGTGTCATTATCACTAGCAACCGGTCATTAGAGAGAGTCTTTATTGGGCAGTGAAGAGAGGTGTATCTCCGTTCAAAAAAAAAAAAAAAAGTAATAAATATTTATAGAACCTAAATTACCCAACCTAAAACCTGATTGAGGAAAATGTGAAATTTGTGGCAGCTATCAATTCGCCATTGACTTAATATAATCAAAGTAAGCAAAGCCCTGGCTACTTTCAAAGATATTTCTATCAGGGTCTAGCTGATATGTGAAATCAATGAAAAATTCCTTTCACATATATCTGGAAAATCATCAGACATGTTTGCACAAGTCTTAGGTACACACTTCATTGGGATGATAAATGCTAAAACTAAAACAACATGAACAAGGTCACAAGGTTAAATAAAAGAGAAAGCCTGATCCACCATCTAAATTCCTTGGTTGTTCAGAACCTTGGTACCAAACTTATAAAGATTACAGAATGACAGATCATATGGCAGAAAACAGAGCAATCATTTCACATTTTCTCACATTGATCTGTGAATGTGTTTCAGAATTGAGTCTTCTTTTTTTTTTAAATGTCTTCAAATTTCTAGTGTTTCAAAAACCCAAGGTTTTTATTATATAAAGACATATGTTAAAGATACATGAAACTGACAAACAAATACATGCATAGCTAAAAACATGGGGGTACCTATTCTCTGGTATATTAAAACTTTGGTTTATGCAGTTTCACAAGATTACCGTTCATTTAATAGGAAGTATTTTGCGCTGAGCACCTAATACTGTTTACACTGCTGCTACAGAAGGTGTTTACATAGAGGAAGTCTCCCATAGTTCACCAAACCAGATGCTTTCCCCATTTCCTAGCTGTGAAATTAGAGAGATTATGTTTAATCTTGAAGGTTTGCATGGGTAAAGTTTATAATTGTTGGAAAATTTGTAGCCTTCTCCCTCATTAGGGAAGCCTATTTGTATATGTTGGTTTGAGTGTGAACATCTACACTTTAGGGATACACAGTGCAGAGAAAAAGAAATTGACGTATTTTCCTCTGGATCAAATCCAACTAATCTAGGAATATTTACACACCCAGCAAATAAATAGAACTTTCGTAAAGCTCATCACGTTTCTAAATTTTGTATTTAATTATGTGGGAAGGCAGTATGCTTTTATCTGCAAAATAGCTGTAAATGATGTTCAATTGGAGATGAAATTCCAAGGATGCATATATAATTTATTTTTATCTTTAGTTTTCAGAGAGCTAAGCAGTTAATGGTTTCTGAATTCTTTATATATAAACTGATGACTTGTATATTTCAGGAATGAACTGATGCAGGCCCTGATGTCTGGATCTGTTGCCATGATGGTATATAACATGACTTAGTAGATAGCCAATCAAATTTAGCCTCACAAAACTTAGACCAAAACATCTAGACCAATAAAAAGCCAGCTAGCTTTCAATATTGTAGATTGTACTCAGTGGTAGTGTATTATAATCCAGGAATTTTTTTGTCTGGTAATTTTTTTGGTGGAAGTCTTACACTGCATCTAAATTTGGACCAGTTTTTCCTAGCCCTCTATAACACAACCTTCTTACAAAGAGCAGACTCTTACCATTGTATTCACAGAAAAAAAATACTCTACATAAAAAAAAGCTTTTGATTATTTTTGTCTTGGTAGGCTTTTATTGTTGGTAGACTGAGTAGGAATACATGGAAATTTTTCTGTAGCCGTATTTGCTTTTTTCGATTCAATGTTCTAGTGCATGACTGTTTCTAGTGTTGTACTGTTTCTTCATTGGAATGTCAGAGAGCATAGGCCATCACTGCTGTAGCGTATGTTTCTCACATTAACATTAATAACTGGACAAATCTGTAGACAAAATAAATGCCTTATTTGTATACTTTTACCAATATATTTCTCTTGTTATTTTTAATAAAAAGTTTTTTAAGAAAAAAAAAAGACAAAAGAATTTATTTGTGAAGAATTTTGGTACGTAAGGAGTTCCTTGGTTTAAAGTAAAGAATGTCATATTTGATGACAGCTGTAAACTGTAGAGTTAGAGTGAATTAGATGGCACTTTTCTAAGTCTTTAGTTAGACTAGGAACAAGGTAATCCATTATTTGGGCAGTTTGGAGATGGAGGAAGCCACCTATTACAGGCTCATATAAAGGTTCCAGTAGACCTGTGCATCTCTGATATTTCCCACCAATGAGTCGTCTGTATTTTCTCGTTTATTTAATATTTTTTGTCAGTTTGGGGGTGTACTTGAGTTAGATGTAATGGTTACTGCTCTAGACATGAATCATCGCGGTATTACACCTTATAAACAGTCAAACAAGGCTTTAGAAGAGCACAGGGACCTGGGTGGAAAAGATGTTTAAATAGCATTGTTGAGGTAAACTAGCCAAATATTGATTCAGTCAACCTGTTAAACATCTTTAAGATTCTCACCCCGTGCTAATGGTTGTATGTATACACCAAAAGTCCTTGTTTTGATCAAACATGGTAATTTCAATTTTTGGTCTACAAAGACTTACTCGTTTGAACTGCAGAACAATTGAAGAATACTCAAACATGTTTAGCAAACTGTGAACAGCATGATGGGTTTGGAAAGCAAGGTCTATTCCCAGCCCTGGGTCGAAGTGATGGCATTGTTTGAGAATTGTTGTAAAGTCACAAAAATTCACCACTGTTTACTCACCTCTGATAAGGGCATATTGATCATAGCGAGTATTGAGCTGTAATTTAATTGGTGGAAGGAGTCCTTTGGTCTGCACTATTGGTTTTAAAAACAGCAGAATACATGTTAAGCAAACAGAAAGGAAGATTTTGGTCTAAATTTGTTAAGAGGTTAAATTTTGGATGATCCATTAAAAAAAAAGAGAAAAAAAAGGAAAAAGTCTTTTATGTACCATCATGGGACAACAGACAAACAGACAGGGTACTTAGGTTAGATTTAGGATTTTGTTTTAATAAGATGCTTAATGCACTGTTTTGAAATTTTTTTAATTTTGTCTTTGCAGGTTTTGGATTTGTGACATTTGAGGTTGAAGATGTTGTTGATAAAGTGTGTGAAATTCATTTCCATGAGATCAACAAGAAAATGGTAAAGAAAAGAAAGTTATTAATTGCACGTATCCAAACACAACTTCAGACATGTAACGATGGCTCAGTACACAGGAAGATGATGAAGTTGAGAGACTATAAAATATGAAATGTAACACGAAAGCAACATATTTACATGACACATAGCTGTGTAGTACCACAACAAAAGTAGTTTCGCTTTGCATACTACAGGACGTGTACATTGTCTACATAGATTCATTGTTCTAACAATAGCCAGGAATAGGACATTGCTCTAAGACACCTGTAGATACCTTACAAACACATCATAAAGTCATAAAACAAACAAATTTTACAGGTCATTTAAAGATAAAGAATGGTGCCCAACTTTCTACTGTGGTGTGTTCAAACTGACATGGGTCAATATTACCTAGACTTTCTTTAAATAGAAATATAAGATGATGTATGAAGAGTCATAATAAAGAAGTTTTTATTACAAGATGATGAAATGGTCCTGTATGAAACATGGAACTTTGTTAAATAAAATATGGAGAATGATACAAATTTATTACAATATGATTTTCAGGTTGAGTGTAAGAAAGCACAACCAAAGGAAGTCATGCTACCCACCACCCTAGCAAGGGGGCGGGGCACATTGACCAGAGGGGCGTACGGTGAGTACCATCAGTAGTGACCGTCACTTGGATGTAGATTTTGGGTTGACAGTAGTGATACATATATACATATTATACCTCTTTTTTATAAAAGTAAATTCATTGCACATGATGACCTTTTGCCAAATGTTTCCATGGCCATTCATTTTTCTCTGCATGCTGTCAAAGGTAGATATTGAGTGGTAGTATTAAAGTGATAGTTCCCTCTTTTGTGAAAAGTTAAGAGAATTATGTTTGCTTCAGTCATTTCTTTATGAAGTGAGTGAGGGAACTCTGCATGTTGATGATTATCTTTGTATGTGGTACATGTACTACAAAATAATCTGGTAGTGTGGTAGAGAGATGATAAAGCTTATTACACATCAGGCAAGAGGTCAAATGTGCAAGGGAAGTAACTGCATCAAAGGGGAGATAACTGGCAGAAGTAGACATTGTGCTGCCTCACCCTGCTTTGTCCGATGTTACTGCACTTCTGTCTTTAATGTTTTTTCTAGATCAACAGATTTGTAGGTTTTCGCTGTTGAATGTACTAGTCTATTGTTATTTATATTTTTTTCATTAATTAAAACCTGAAATGGAAATTTTTACACGGAAGTTGTGGTAGATTTTTTTTGGTTTATTATTTTTTAATATACACAGTTCACAACACTTTGATTGTACATTCCTGCCGTGGAATTATTTTATGCACAGTGAGCTTTCTGTGTTATAGAATTCAATAGAGCTGGAATCATTTTCCAAAGCAAGTATGATACAATCAAAGGTGTTATTCTAGTGCAATTTAGTTCAGCTTGATTTTCTGGGTGGTTGAGGAAGTATTTTCAAAAAAAGTATACAATGGTGGAATTTCAATTCTAAATGTATGAAAAAACAAAAATATCCTTTTAGCAGTTTTGTAGTCGTGATATTTGTATTTTGTTTCTGATTAAGCTTAATACATACCTTTGAGTGTAGCCCAAAGGTAGGCGACCAGCTTCCTCACCCAGCAAACTGGTTCTCAGTTGCACTAGTACAAAGTGTGAGCTTCTTGCTACCACTAAAACTTGATTTCCCTTTTTCTAATCCTTTCTTAGTGACGGAGGATGGTGAAATCGTCTTGGGTGAAATTCCACAAGAATTAATTATGCCGGATCTGTGTAAGTTGTTCAGCCTCTGCTCTTTTTCAACTTGTACCAGAACTGCCCCTCTTTTTATGTCCTGGTCAGGATAATTAAAGAAAAAGAACTTCACAAACTAAGAAAGACAACTCTTGCAATTGTGTAACTAACTAACACTTTTAACAGGTTAGGGCTGTCGATACAAGAGAATCCTGTAGCTTGATTAATATCTGCTTCCTTACATTGGCAGCCCTGACCTGGTTATTCAGCTGTGACAGTCTGTCATGCATGACATCCGCTAGATTGTGTAGTTGGAATTTCCTAGAACTTTTTGTGTATTATCTGCCTGCATGATTTGGTTAAATATCTCTGTTTAGTTGTGTGAAACTAATCAGCTTTATGATATTTTAAAGTTTTTTTTTCTTTGTTTGTGTTTCAGGATAAATTTCTATTTAATACTATATTACACTTAGATGATAAACTTCATATTCTACATCTCATTTTAAACAAAATTATCTGTAAAATAATTTGTTTGTCAATTATGTATGCCATAAACAACTTGCATTTTTCTGGATGTGCTTTTGATATAGAATTTTAATTTTTTAAAAATGACATCTTAAGGTTTTATCTAAAACAAATTACTGCAAACATCTTTATGAATCAGCAACACCAGCATGTTTTGTAAGAGCACCATGGGAGTTCTTTAAAAGACGGGGGGGGGGGGGGGGGGGGGGGGGGGGCAGTTAACCAATAGACATAATTCATATTGATATGACAGAAAGCATGAGAATAAAAGCATGGATTAATTCAGTTCAATATCCTCTTACAATTGAACATATCCAATAAATTTTTCAAATTGGATTTCAAATTGCTACTGTAGACACACTATAGGATTAAAACACATGGAAGTTGGGTTAGTAAGAATGCATGCTCCATGGTTTTTCTTTGAGTCATTCGTCATTAAAGAATACAAAATTTATTATCCATTTTGCATGCACAAATTTTAAAGGAAACTGCTTTCAACATTTTTTCAAGGAAGTCATTTGAAATGGATGCAATTTTAGCTCTCAAGTTAAAAAAAAAAAATTATGCCCATTACGATCTGTCCACAATTTTAAATTCCATGTCCATAAATTATACAAGATGGAGAAATCAGACTTGATCATATAAAGCCAAGGTCATATGCAGAGGTCAGAGGTCAAAAGTTATTGTATTTCATAGACATAAGAAATATAAGTTTATAAATGGCTTATGTATTTTCTTCTTTATACAAGAATCCTTATAGACATATTGTCTGATGTTGTACTTGATAATCCTTTGGTCATGATATTGAGTGTTTACGGTCTTTATTTACAGGTTATCTTCCTACGGGACTGCCGAGCTACCCCTATGGTCGCGGATTTCCGACACTGGCCCCAGCAGGCTATTACTATCCAGGTATGGAAATTTTAGAACTAGGGCAGTGGTACCCCTTCTAAGCTTTCTGTCATCTTAACCTTTCAGCCCCGCAGGAAATACTCTATCATAGGGGATAATAAAGGAGAGAAATACAGCAACATATCAGCTGAGACCATGAGAAAATACGAACAGAAACTGTTGTGTATTTATTCTGTTACATGTTTATTTAATGCTTGTTAATTTATTGTACTATATTTTTTAAATATTTTGATGGGCTAATTTAATGGGCCAAAATATCTGCACTGCAGGAAGATAATTTTTGTGATGAGTGATAGGGCATGAATGGTCTCCAGTGCCAAATATCTTAATGGAGAGGAGGAATGTAGTAGAATTTGTTTATCTTTGTCTCTCTGCATGCAGAAGTCTTTATGAGTGGGCACAATATTGCCCAGCAGATTTCATTGTGTGCCATGTAATTTTGAACTCTAGCTATTGTTTTTTTCTGTTTTTTTGATGTAGTAGATATGTATTTCTATCTATAAAGCTTTGTTTTGTTAGTGGTGATATAAGGTGGAAATTTTTGCAGCTCCAATGTTTATTTCATTTGTTTCCAAGGAGAAGGTTTTGGTCTAAGCAAAGGCAAGTTTTTTTCTCTAGAGACACTTTTTGAACAGAGGTATTTTTTGTATCATAAGAAATGCAGTGAGCTGACAGGAAAGTCATTACTTTTATATAGTGTACCGTTAGGAAGGCATTTGGATTAGAAATACTCACAGAATGTAACCAACAAAGTCATAAACAATGAAGCTGGACTATTTTCCACTGTATACTGTAGATTCCTAAATATACGCGAGGAATTAATTGCGTAATTCCTCGAGAAGAACGACTCGCGAAATAAAATTACTCACTTTAATTTTTATGGTGCTGAAATCTGTTAAAAAAACTCTTGATCAAGCGACCACTCGTGAATTATACTTCACGCGATTTGTCGTCTAAGGGCCATTTCATGATATTAAGTACTCACGTAAAATAAGGAATCTACAGTATTGTGTAGTCTTAGTCACTATTGACCAGCAGATATCTGGTGTGGAATTTTCTTTTCATGTTTGTATTTGTTTATAAGGCATGTTGTTAATGACATTCATCAATGTTAATCCATTTCTTTGAATTTTTTACCATTTTGTTTACTATGAAGATATATGTTTAAGTATACGTAGGTACTTTAATTCATGTAGTTCAGTTATATTGTTTATAATGTCTTAAGTATATCTGCACAGCTAAAAAGCTTAGAAGTTTAAATGTTATGTAAGTTGTGTGTGTTTCTAATTTTATATGGTTCAAAAATAAGATATATAATGCATAGAGCAATAAAGAAGCCAAATTTCAATATACAAGGTCAAAATTTTCTATAATGACTGATCTTTCAAACATGGCTACCTCAAATATAATGATATTGCAAAGCTTGCCAAAAAAGATAGAGATTTTTTTTTTTGAAAACCTATTAGAATACTAGTAGACACTAGTCAGTTGAGTAGATGCAAAGAATTAATGAAAGTGTATATTTTTCACAGATAAAATAATCTAAATGGTTATATTTTACAATTGTTAATAGGGATTTGATAATAAGTATTTATTGTTCATTGAATAAAACTATAAAGAAACTATTTCTCAATGAAATGACAAGTGCACTATGTATGTTATGCAAAGATAAAGACTTGTCAGATGCTTTTGGTTGGTGAAAAGACTTTGCATAAGTAAAGTTTTTGGACTATCTTGTAATCAGATGCTTTAGAAACATTAACATGACCTTGCCAATCAATCTCCCCTTTAATTCATTAGTTATTAATTATTTATTAATAAAACCTGATAGATTATAGTGTTTGAAAATAGTCAAGGAGCTAACCATTGTTGCTTGTTTGACCAGCAAATTATAGGTAAATTTGGTGCAAAATTTTTTTTTTTTAAAAATTTTAATAGACAAATCAATGTTACCTGTAATCAACTAAAATTGTAATCATTTTGGTACACATACACTTTTTTTCTTTAAGAAATCATGTAGTGCACTATTTTATTTTGTAGAATTTTTGCAAATTGATTTTAAATTTGACATTGGAAAAGAAGGGGGGAGAAGAGAAGATTTTCCATTGTCTACTGCTTAAAGATTTACAAATTTATAAATACATTGGCATGTTAGATTCTCCCTAAGGAAATGATTCTCAGATGAGAGGGCATGGGCTATGGTGTCTAATTTTAGCAATAATTACCTGGATGGAATATCTTCTCTCCTTCCTCTGAGTAACCTTGACCTATTTATTTATGAACTTCTCATCCTATGTAAGCCTGTTAACTTTTCATGGTATGATCAGACAATTCGTCTTTTTTTTGGGAATAAAATTTTGTTAACAAATTTTGTTTCCTTAATGAAGAAAAGGATTACACGAGAGAGGAAGAAATTACGTTGTATTTGGAAAACTGGTCAAAAACGTGTCTTTCCATGTAGTGGAAATGACTATTTGTTTCGTGTAATTTGGCAGGCTTGAATGGAGTCAATACACCATCTGTAGTTGCACGTTCAGCTTCAGCTGTTGCAGCTCGCAGTGCTGGGGTTGGTGGGGCACAACATGGTGTTTTGGGCATAACAGCAAGTCCAAGTAAGCACCATAGTAACTGTAGCAACACCAGGTCAGGTGCCTTAAAACACAATGCAGCAGACTGTTCAACATTTTTTTTATCACATTAAATCAATGCATTGTAAGCTGGTCATTAATTATGTCCATTTTGAAAAGGACATTTTGATGCCAAGCTGTATAGTTCCATACTGTCCAGCACTCTGTATCTACAAATAGGATCCTGTCGTGACCTGGATTTGACCTTGATCATATGGATCTATGTTGTTTACTAACCTTGCTCTTCACTTAGCTAGTTTTTCATTTTTATCATCAGCATAGAATTAATTTATAACAAAGAAGCTGTCATTTTATTCTTCCTGCATAAAGCTGTATATCATTTTCATACAATGCTACAAGTCATGGTAGACCAACTGTGCATGTGATTTTTTTTATATTGTGTGTTTCAATCCATTGGTGTTGTTTGTGGTATTTATGCATATATATTTATTTATGTAATATAAGTATGGGAATATTTTTTTTTTTAACAATTTGAAATTGTATTTTGCTTTTTTTATGATTTTATATTGTTATTTTAGAAAAAAAAATTGAAGTTAGTAAAGAAAGGGCTTAAAAAAGGAAAATATAAATTGATTCTATCATTGATTAGTGTATTTCATATATTAACATGTTTTGTTTTGGTATGCATTTTAAGTTAAATGATAATTTTTGTGTATTTTGATGGTAGATTATAATTTGACCTACCTTTGAGAATGCCTGTTTTGTTGACATCGTCAATATTGGCTGTTCCGCTGATTTTGCATGTCTAAAAATAGAATCATCGCCACACTATTATTCAAGCTTCCGTAATATCTAGATTTAAGTAGATGTAGTGAACCAGTGCTTATTGTAGTATTTTGTTTATTTTGCATGTGGTATTTAAAACAGAAATGAAATAACTGTTTTGGCCTTTCTTACCAATATAATCAAAATTTAAACAAAAGAGAGGGAACAGAATCCATCCATAGTGTTTTTTTTAGCTTTCACTTTAATATCAATTAACAAAAAATTTTCTAAACATTTTTTTTTAAAAAGAAGAAGCATATCATATGGTAGATTTGTAGCAATAGATAATAATCATGGCTTATACTGTCATGTAGAAAAAGCATCTTCATAAAGTGTGTGCGTTGTTCTGTATTAGACATTGCAAAACCAGGGAAGCCAGCCTATACAAAATTTCACAGGGAACAATATACGTAAACCCATTATCTATTTGTTGTTATTTATATATGATAAACAATTGAAAAGAAGAAATATGTAATGTACTATTTAAGAGTTATTCCCCTTTTTCAAATATTTTTAAGTGTTCTGAGTAATTTATTAGCTAGGTCTCTTACCGTATTTGTCGTCTTTTGTATAGGCTTCCCTGGTTACCCCGCTGGTTTAATACAAACCCCCACTGCTACCCCCGGTGAGCGACAGGTCTCTCCTGCCATATATGCAGATATTGGTGCTACTACTAGCCCCTTGGCTGCCAACGCCCTACAAATACAGCGCAGTGAGCCCTCCCCACTGCCCGTCAGTAACTCGCCCTTGGCCAGGGTGGGAGAGCAACTTCTTACAGCACAAAGAACAGGTATTACTTCATCCTAATTTTTGTGAGCAAAATGTCATTTGTGGCCAAGGAAAAGGATGAAAATGAAACTGTTCATACAGTACATGAAGGAAGGTTACGGGCAAAAATGCCATGATATCTCAATATATACTGGAAGAAAAAAGGAAACTTGTCAGAAATTTTATCTTGTATGAAGGTTTTATTTCTAACAAGTTTATGTTGACTTCTTTATTTTTGACTGTATATCCAAACTCTACCCCAGAAGGGAAAAAAATCAGTTTTCAGCTCCTATGTGGAATTAATAAAAGATGAGAATATGGCATTCAAATTCTCTGGGGTAATATTAAAAATCTATATCGGTAATATATTGTATACTAACATGACACGAGGTGAATTTCTATCTGCACTGATGTATCTTAACAAAGTTGGTTTCTCTTTTTCTCTTCACTTATATGATGAAACTAGAGTGTTCCTGTCTTTTTTATGTTATGCAGATTTGTAAATAGAATAGATCTGTAGGAATACCTTTTTGGATAAGTGCATGCCAGATATCTTGACTGGAGTAGAAACTTTACATACAGAATAGATTTTGAAAATATGTGCAAGTATTTACTTATAACACTCAGTGCCTTGGATATGCACCTTTTGTTTTAATGCAAATTACCTTTGTCTCCATTCTTAACTTATTAGATATGCAAAATGTAGAATTAATGGTAGAGAACAACCTAACATTGTGGGCATGCAAATCAGGAAAATATAGTAGCCACATGGCATCTCCTCAGCATGACTTTATTCTACTTGGAAATCATAAATATTTTATGATGATGTCTTCGAATATCTTTGTAGTTTGTATACAAAACCTAAACAATCTCACTGCATTCTAAAGAATTGTGTTCTTTCTGTATATTAGTTAAAGGTCTCTTTATTTCACTGTAAGATATCTGCATGCTGTAGACAATAATTGTGTATAAACTGTACGGCTTTGAGAACAGATTAGTTGTGTCCTGGTGGATGACATATTTGCTGCTGAAAGTTTTGGGTTCTGGGTGAAGACAAATTAACAGTATGCAGATGGTTTTATGTTAGGAAATCCCTAATGAACTGAGTTGCTGTGTATGATGTTGGGGGATGTCTAATGAATTGAGTTGCTATGTATGGTGTTGGGGGATCTCTAATGATCTGAGTTGCTGTGTATGCTAGCATGAGTATGTTTCAGTCAGAGCATGTTGTTTGACTTTTCAGCTATGATGAGTAGCCTTGGACACCAGGGATTTCCCACCGCTACCTCTCCCAGCACTCGCTCTGTGCCCTTGACAACCAGCCCAGGGCCCGTGGATACCTTTATTGCCCAGGACGGGCTTGGATATATCCAGGCCACTAGCCCCCAGCCCACAGGCTTTGCTCTCAACACTGCAGTAAGTATCAGCCTTTGTAAATGTAGTGTAGATCCCTGTGTAACACTAGTTGTTTAGATTAGCTGGCCAGTGGAGAGTTTTCTGAAATACAATTATCAGATAAATCATTCAGCCATATTGAAGATTTGTTTTCAAAATAAAAAAAAAGAGAGGGGGAGAGATGCTAAATATTTGAGCTGTATAAATTAAGGGTACAAAATTAAAAATTAAATTATTTCAGATGTCTTGACACTGGTGTAGAAAGTAATCTAGTTTTTTGTGTGCACTCATTGTAAGAGGAAAATGGTAAAAAAAAAAAAAAAAAGCATGATATTATATACCATAAAACTTCCCTTTAAGATGCTATTTCAAATAATTATATAATAATTTCAAAGCATACCTATGACCCAGATCTATAGAGATAAGTAGATGCTAGTATATTATTGGTCCTTTAGTAGTAGAGAATTTTTTCTGGTCAATAAAAATTTCTAGAAAAGCAAGTTTGGAAAGGTTACCAAGTTCTGAGGATTTGGCACATCACAAGAGTTAAAATAACACTGAATGGGCACTCCTCTTTTGTTTAGTATGGTATACACGACGGACTAGGATATGTTGATGCCACTAGTTCAAATAGATACATTCACGATGTGTTAAGTAAGGTATGTCCGTAGTCTAGCATCCTCTTTGTTTCTGCTTCATCTGCATTTTGTCATCAGTTTCATTTGCTGCTGCATACCAAAAGACACACATCAGCAATCTTTATGCAAAATATAGATTAATTATTACCATTTAATTCATTTTCAAGGACTAGAAATTAACGCTGTTTGTGTAGAATCTTTTTTCAATGCATGCGTGAATAAAATTCTACTTTTTCTTACTGTCATCAGAGTAGTAGATGCTGGTCATTGCCATGGCATGTTGCCTGGTAGCAGGTGTCATGTATAATTCCCACCCAGAAAAAGAATATAATTGCATGCTTTGTGAAGCAGTAGATGACATAAATATTTTCAGACATAGAGTTAGTACATTCCACTGATCTCTTTATTTTCTACAATCCTGGAGATGATAGAAATGTGAATGACATTTCAATACATGTATTTTTCAAATTTCATGTTTTTTCCTGATAATCTTTATGTATAAATAGTTAATTTAGTTTCTCTTAAAAAAAAAAAACCAAAAAACAAAAAACAAAAACAAAAAAAACTGCTTTAGCCCTTTACACAAGAAATCTTATGACTAAGATTAAAATTCGAAAACTTTAAAAAAAAATTTTTGTTTATTAAAGATATTGATTTTCCTTAAGAATTAATCAGGTTATATATATTTGATGTAATCAAAATATAAGATTTTTTGTGACAATATGCTAGCATAAAAACTTTTTGGAAAATTGGAAAATTTTATCTTAGTCAGAAGATTTTCTGTGAAAAGGCCCACTGGATATCATTTTAATATTAATAATGACACAAATAAAATAAATGCTTGAAAAATAATGACACAAGTAAAATGCTTGAAAAATTGTGTCTTTGGAAATTAAGGAATTTTTTTTTTTGGATAACAGTTGAAAGAGAGAATTGTTTCCTGCAGAAGCAGTGACTTAAATTTGAATTCTACATTGTAGGCACAACTGATACCGCAAGGTTTCCAGAATGGTTATCACTAAGTATCAGATAGTGGAAAATATGCAAAGTCATCTGCACACATTGGACGCATACTGGACGCAGCAAATGTTATCTCATTGCTGATTGGTTGATTTCTATAATTTTGTTGGGAAGTTGCATGAAAGGATTTCTGAATCTGTACTATTAAGAACTTAAAGGAATGGCACATTTAGATGTGATCTATCTTTTTTCTTTTTAATTTTGATCAATTTTACTGGCTTTTATCAACTCTATGTTATTATGTATATATACTAATGTAAAAATGTTTTATTTTTTTGTTTTATTATGACTTTTTTCATTTTAATTTTTCATTTATCTCATGTGTGAATCAAGTGAAGCTCAGTGAAAATTGTGAAATATTTGAAGCATTTATTCAACAGTAGTATTTATTGCTAGAATTAAATGTTTATGTATGGATTAATTTCATCTCATATAAAGGTCATATTTGACCATTTGGAAATACAGGACATTTAATGAGCCACATCTGGTCTCATCTAAATTAAAAAAATTAGGAGAAACTGTTATTGGGTTTTGAATTGCCATCATGTTTACATTCAGGTTTGGTAACTTCTATAGCAATAATTATTAAAACACTGTTCAAATACTTTTTTATAAAAAAGAATATTTAACGTATTTTATATTCATGTTTTTTCAAGAAGTTGTGACTGCAAAATGTCTGGCCAAAGATATGATTGGTTAAATGGTGGGAGATAGGTTCCACCCATGTGATATTAGTGTTAATTATCCAAAGCAAATAACCCTCAGCAATAAGGACTTAGTGAATTCTTTGTGATTATATTGTTATATACCACAGTGTGTGATATTGCAGCAGATCTGATCGTAGACTTAGGCACAGTTGTAGAATGGATATCGTTTATTTATTTGCTCTTTATCCCTCTTTTATTTTACACTAAAACCTGTCCCACTTTGTTCTTGTGAAAAATTCAAAGGTTGTGTTCAGTTTACATGCACAAAGTTTTTTTTTTTTTTTACGGTAAATATGTGTTTATATTTCCATGAAGACTTCTCTAGTCACTTTGTTCAGACTAGACCAGAATTTTGTGTTTTACACTGCAAAAAATAAATTTTTAACCTCTCTGTGTAAAAAAAAAAACCAATGTAAAAAGCTTATGAAGCCTGTTTAATAGGCTGTTCTTGTCAATGTCTATGTGATCTTTCTAACTGTTGTGTTGTTACTGATTACCAATATTTTGGAGGACATAATTGAAAATGTCACCTGATTTCTGGGTGTGTTTTAGTGTAGATCGCTTTTTTTTTTCTTTCGAGTCAGGTGTTCACTTGTAGTGGGTTGTCACAATTCTGATTTATATACTGTAGATACGTAGTTTTTATGAGAGAGCATATGTGCTAAAGTTTTACGCAAGTTTTTATTATATTAAATCATTGTTGGATTTTTTTTTATTTGAATACTAAAGGTTGTTATACGGGGACTAAAACATTTTTATTATTGATTGTTGTAAGACCCTGGGGAGCAAAAGGGGGTCCACAGAGTAGAATCGTCACTGGTGCTGCAGGATTGATTTATCAAAGTTAGAAACGGAACAAAAATAAAACAAAATTGTTTCCAAGTATACCTACACCTAAATTACACAAAAATATTATATTTTTAAAAATTTTAAAACAAATAAGAATGTTTGATGATGAAACTTTATGGACTTTGAATATATCAACACCTCATCCATGTCAGTGACTATTCTACCAGGAATTAACTTGTTTGTACAGTTAATGTGACATATACATTGTATTGTTGATCAACTTAATTTACCAAAAAACCTCATTCGAAAATTTTATCATTTTATATACATGTATATATTAATATCTTAAGCCTGCTTTCTTTACCCAGCAGTTTTATTAGATTTTTTTTTTCTTTTTATTGAGGCATTTTAAGGTTTTGTGAAAAAAATTGCAAACTTTGACCACATCATTTCTGAAACTTTGGGCATTTATATATGTATCAAACTGTTTTATTATTTATAAATTTTTTCTGGGTAAAGAAAGTTGTGTTGTTTTCTCTTTTACATTCATTATAAACATTATACTTGTGGTAGAGTAGTGGATTTATATTAGTAGAGTAGTTCTCATCACCATTGCTTTTTGGGCAGGGTATCATCTGTGTATATTATGTAAGTTATAAAATGTATGACTAACATTTATCTATATATAATCATTATATTGACACTTTATAATGGACAAAGATAATATCTTCACATTTGAAAGCATTATCTTTTAGACAGTTATGTAAAAAGATTGAAAATGAAGCTTAAAGGCCTGTATGGTTGGTCGGCTTTTTCAGGTGTTGGCGGGGCTAAAAATAGAGCTGGGCAGATGCGAAGCCTCATTTTCAATTTTTATCCCTGTGATAATGATCTTGTACATAACCTTCATTTTTGTCTGATTATTTGTTGCCATGGAGATGATGATTCAAATTCAAAATCTTGAAAAGTTAATTTTATCACATAGAGAAATTGTTCTCTAGAATTGAAAATTGTCATGGTAACAGGACAGACATTTATGATTCAAAATAATTATATTAACCAAGATTAATTATGCCTTAGTGCTAATTGTAAGAAAACTTGTATACCAACTTTTATCAGGGTCCAAAAATGTCTCAAATTTCACAAATCATCATTTGTGAGTTTTCAGTGTAGAGAGTCAAACAAAGTTATGTATAAATGATGTTAATGTTTTTCCTCACCTGAATATACTATTGAAGTTTTAACTTAAATTACAACTGTACATATGGTCATATTTAATTTTCATTATCAGTAGATTGAAAATAGAAGCTCATTGCTAAGGAACACCACAAGTGGCCTGAGGGAAACTCTGTCACTTTTGGCATTCAGTCTGAAAGTAGAATTTGATGTAAGCCATTGACAAAGATTGAAAAAGGTGACCTGTTCTTTTGTAAATTGAGTCAAATTGGAAAGAAAACTTGTGTCTGTTACTTAGCATGGAGCATTAGAGACTGAAATCATTCGTCGGCAGGTTCAATCAACGTGGCGTTTAAAAACTGTCAAAAATAAACAAGAAAACAACAGCATGGATGAATGGTTTAGACAAAAAACATTCCCTAGAATTGGAAACAGGTCACATGACAACTACTTTAGGTCATCTCTGCTCTTGATGTAATGGAGAAAAAGAAAGACTGTGTTGATACTGATTTTTTTCAAATCAACTTTTTATTTCCAAGTCCTGGTCTGTTTACCCACTCTTTGGTAGTCACAAATGTGTGTTTTCTTACTTAAGACTCTATACTTAATTTTGCCAGGATGAAAGTAATATTGTTGTTTGAAGAAAATTGTTACCAATTTGGACTTTCAACCTAAAATCTCAGGGAACATCTGCTAAAACAGTAATACGTATAGATTCATGTGTAAAAATTATTTACTGGTAGAATTAGTAGCCTAGGATCACAAGTTTCCAAGTTGCAGCTACTCCCGTGCCATGGATCACTTATATACAGCACTGTCTCAATGCACACAAGGCATTTAAGGCCCCTTTTTAACTTGTGGTTCATGTCTTTGTTGCTGTTGTTGTTTGGGAGGGGGGACATCTCAAAACTAGTGAAGAGAATTCCCGCCTTCTTGACCTGCCTTGAGGTGCTAAGTCTAGTGCAATAGTTGGTGTTTAAAGTAAATATATTGGCATCATTTCCACTCAACACGGGAATGCATGTCAATGCTTTATGTAACAAGTTCTTATATGTGGGGAATATATATGTGTGACCTTTATCGGTATTTAGCGTAGACTTAATATAGACTAGGACAAATCCTATAATACATATACATTATTTATGGTGTGTTTTAATATATTTTATAAAATCTGAAACCATTCTTCAGGGGCAGAGGTGACCAAAAAAAATCGCTTCTTAAAGTGAATTATGATTGCTTGTTATGTGACCTGCATCCAGTTTTGCATAGAGTAGACTAACTTAGATTAGTTTATTTATTTGACTGAAGTGGCGACTTTACAAAGGGTATATTCAAACCATTATGGCAAAGTAATGAAAAGCAAATATGTGCCAAAGAATAGTTCTATATGGGAAGTCCATACTTTCTTAAAATAAGAGGTTTTGTGATGTCAGTCTGTGAATTCAAGGTTTTGTTTGAAACATGCAAGTCAAGTTAATATTCAGATTTTTCTAAGAATAAGAATGTTCTTGACCAATGACGTCACTCTGTAATACTGTTTGACCTGTGACGTCATTCTGTAAAACTGTTCCTGTGGACACTGTAAAATTCAACCTTGGGGAAATCCTTCATTTTCTTTGTTAGCACACATTACCTTCACCAAATAATAAACGATTATCTCTGATTTCACCCAAGGTTAACATGTTGACCTTTGTATAGTGTATTTGTGAAAAAGTCAACTGAAATAAAACGGTATATTCAGAATATCTTTTGTTTTATTTCTTTTAAGGAAAGATGGACATCAAACCAAAGTTTAAATTGTGATAGATCGTAATTGAGAATTCATAATGACTATTAGTTCAAAACCATTATTACCTTTAATATAATTATATCATGCACATAAGCTACTTTAAGAAAAGGTTAATCCAATTTCCTTAAATTCTCCAGTTTAGGTGAATTTTCACTAAATTTTAGATATAAATACTTTGACTGGAAAACATGGTGCAAGCAAGCCTATTCATGTTCACTTACAAGATGTACATGTAAAGTAGGCAGATCTGGCAGATAGGCTTAAGTCCACTCCCTGTTTTTTGTAGCAAGTATACTTTGAAAATTGGTGAAAAAACAATAGAAAATTGAAATTTAGTAAACTTCCGTAATACAATTTTGAAACAAGCATAATCAGATGATTAGGAACCTTGGACTGTCACCCATAAAAGGGGATTAGGGGCAAAAAAAAAAGACCTGAATGTACCTTGTTCTTTGATATTTTTAACCTATACCTACCAATGCACAGTTAAGGTCCATCGATACCCTGATAAGAGAGATAACTCTTAATGACATAAATGTCTATTATTCCTTTATAATCTTGTCATGTGAAGTGTCTTTTTTGTCCAGTTTTGCCCCGGAAGCTATGCTATAAGTGTTTGTATTTTACTTAAAAAATACATTCCTTTTGGAAAATGAAACATTTTATATGAGTGAGCAGAGGGCTCAAAAGTCCAATTAGGCAATACGAATTGTAGCCAGAGCAAACTCGGACCTCTGAAAACAGAGATTTGTACAGGTGCCATGGAGGAGGGAGTGAAAAGTGTAAAAATGGCCTAACAATTAGTACGAAAGACGTCAGTCAACATTCTACCTAGCGATAGATTGTATTTGCAAACAATGTCATTGTATCATAGAATTTGCGAAATGTTGACTTTGAACTTAAAAGTGATGATTACCTTCATTAATTTATTACTCGTTTTAGAAATTGTTTCTATTGGAATATGCTCTTACGTAAAAATGATCGGGGAGATATAAACCCCATATTCAGGTGATAATGGTATATTGCTACACAAGTAAGGAAGTTGATGATAGAAAAGTTGGTCATCAACTTTATCATAATGTCTAGTTAGTTTGCTATCAATGTCTTTTTCTTGTAAAATATCCAGATATGAAACGTGTCAGATTCTGTGGTGTCTTTGATAAATTCGAGTTCAATGGGATCTATTGAATTAACGTTGGAATGAAAATGAATATTGTTAATTGATAAGACGTCGTCGATATATCTTAATTGAATACCACAGCAAGAAAATTTTTTTTTCATTTAGAAGCTTTTGAATGAATTATGCTTCATGAGAGTACAAAAACAGGTCTGCTAATAATAACAATTATATCCCATGGGATTTCAAACAGGTTTTGGTAAATGTTTGTTATTTCAAATTTTCTAAAGGTTCATTGAAGTTTTTTAGTATCCACACCTGATTTACAACCACTTCTCGAATATGTTGTTGTACAATACTCCTGGAGTTTCCCCTTCACTGATGTTAATGTTTTCGTGAGGAGTAAAGAAAAAGTCTTAGTAAAACATTTACTAGAACCCGCTATGTATCCTTAAGGATTTTTATGAAGTTTTGGAATCCAGTATAGGTATGGTAATTCGAAATCAATTCAGTTGTTTGGAATATTAAAATTACTCAAAAACTGAAGAATTTTATCCTTAGAAAGGGGATCCTTTGTCAGCTGGGACAGAACATATTTTTCATGTAATCTATCTAATTCTTTAGTCACTCTGAATTACTGAAGACAGAAGGATAAATGGTTTTTATAACCCCCCCCCCCTAAAAAAACAGTTTAACACAAGATTTCAACATCCACCTTATACTGACCATGGCAACAGAGTTCTTAAAAATTTTAAACCAATGTATAGTCTACTAGCTTGTTTATCGAGATTTAATGAAATCAAACCGAAACTGCAGGAGGAGAAGCCTTATGAAAGAATTTCATAAAAAATTTTATTTCTAGTAGCTATGGCAACACATTTCTTTAAACTCAAAAACCGATAATATAACTTTTCTTATGTAGCTACTTTTGTACCTTTTTTGTTTGTTTGTTTGTGTGGGTGTGTTTTTTTGTTTGTTTGTTTGTGTGGGTGTGGTTTTTTTGTTTGTTTTTAAATCGATTCAAAACCAACTGAAAGGGGGAGTAGCATTTTGGAAAAACATGCGGGCAGAGGGGCGCCTTACCATCGACATAAATGAACACTTTTTTGGTCTTTAACCATACAAAAATGCTAAAAAAAAATGTTGACAAAAAATGTGAATCAATGTGAAATACAAGGCCTATTTTTTGCACTATTAAAACACCATGGGTCTGCCGTATATTCAACAAACGAATGCAACAAACTGTACATTGAATGACTGATTGCTTTTTGTGGTTCATTATCCATTTTTACAAGACTGGCTTGTGCTATAGATGTCTTTCAGTTACATTTTATGTCGGAAGTCGTCTTGGATTAGATGAGTACTTGGGCATCGATCAGTGATACTTAATGTTGACATATTAATTCCTCCAAGTTCTATGGTAAGGAGTATACCGTATGAAAACCAATGCGAGTCATTAATTGCGATTCGAGCTGTACAATCTGAATATAGGAGTATTCTCTTCAAAGGATTCAATAATAGTATATATATATATATATATATATATATATATATATATATATATATATATATATATATATATATATATATATATATATATATATATATATAATTATTCAGAATTGTTTTCTTTCATACGAAGCCCATTTAGAACCTGTCAAAAATATTTTTGAATTTGATAAAACGAATCGTTGAAATTGTTCAAATGAATTTAATTCGTTATAACATTTTTTTTTTTTGAATTTGTGATAACGAATATAATTCGTTAAAACAAATTTGTTGAATTCGTAAAAACGAATTCAACAAATTTGTAAAAACACACATATATTTTGTGTAAACGAATTTTTGAATTTGTTTATTACGAATTAATTTCTTTTAAAAGAATTTCTTACAACGAATTAAATTTGTTTAAACGAAATCGACAATTCATTATATCGAATTTATAAATATTTTTCGAAAGGTCCTAAATGATGAACTCGATAAAACGAATTAAATCCCTAATAATTAATCTAAGAATTCGTTTAAACAATAATTCATTATAACAAATTCAAGATTTGTTTCAACGAATTTAATTTGTTATTACAAATTTTGAATACCTTTTAACTAATTCAACAACTTTTTAGTAACAAATTTAATTCGTTATCAGGAATAACGAATTCTACAATTCTTTATTACGAATTCAAAAATTATTTTGATTGGTCCTGAATGGGCTTTCGTAATTTCATTGCTCATTACATATCATATGATTTTTTTTATCAGTCAGTTACTGTCCCAAAACAAACTCCATCTCGGCTTGCTTGATCGCTAGACTACTGATATCTAAACCAACAGCCAGTTTGATCATGTTACATCTTATCACATTGATATTTGTAGCATAGGGGGATTCCGCGGGGGGAGGGGGGGGTCCTAAACCCCCTCTCCTTAATCTCGTCCGAGATTACCATTCACACACCAACACCCCCATCTCCCCGCAAAATTTGTGCTTTCTGTACCTAAAGTTTAGTTTGTTTGATTGTTTTTGTTATTTGTTTATTGAATTTATGGGGGGGGGGGGGGGTCTGTGAAAAAATTCCTCGTTCGAATATTTTTTTTCTTCTTTTTAGTGAATATGTCCCATTTGGAAAAATTCTGGATCCACCTTTGAGTAGAGGTTAAATTTTTTTCATTGAAAGCCACATGCCAGGTGGTCAATCAGTTTTATCACGATTAAATCATTTTAAATTTATTTCATTGAAATTATTTGTAATTGATGAAACTTTGATACAACTGACAAAGCAGCATGATATTAGAGAAGACACCAAGTAAACTTTTTTGTGACGTAAACCAAAATCTTTGACGTAATGCCCCTTTCTTTTTTTTTTTTAGGAAATGAATATTGGCATTATATACTTTATGTAATTTTTTCAGCTATACTTGGTATCTGTCATATAGCAGTATGCCGTGCTCTGTTCTTGTAACGGGTGCCAATGGATTCCTGGGTCAGCATGTTGTCAAACTGTTGCATGAAAAGGTGGACTTTGTTGAATACATTGTCTTATTAGACAAGGAGACTTTCGTCCAGAAAATAGGTTTGTACCGAACAAAGGAAATGAAATCAGGATTAAATTAGGTATTAAATTTGTGAATATACATTTTTCGAATTAACCATATGAAATACTTTTGCCAGCTTTAGTTATGTTAATTATTCACTATGGTTATCTATGTTAGAAATGAATTATCAGTGCGCTATTTCTGACATAAATGTCAGGTAATATTTTTATATGGCCACGTATCGAAGATTCGGGGGTACATTGTATATAGTTTTTGCCCTGTCCGTCCGTTTGTCTGTTTGTCCGCAAAAACTTTAACCTTGCCCCGGCATAACTTTTGATTGATTGGAGCTATGGCTTTCATATTCCACATGTGTATTCCTTGTGACAAGAACTTTCTTTGGGTAACATCATATTTGACCTTGGAGTTTGACTCAGTTTTACAAAATTTTACCCAACTTTAACCTTGGCCATAACTTTTGAACAGCTGGTGTTAGGATTTTCATCCTTCACACGTGTTTTCCTTTTGGCAAAACCTTCCTTTGGGTACCAGCAAACTTTGACCCTTTGACATTGACCTTGGAGTTTGACCTACTTTTGAAAAACTTTAACCTTAGCCGTAATTTTTGAACTGTTGGTGCTATGGCTTTCATACATCACACGTGTTATCCTTGTGACAAGACCTTTCTTTAGATACCAACAATTGTAATCCATTAGACGTTTGACCTACCTTTGGAAAACTTTAATCTTGGCCATAACTTTCGAACGGTTGGTGCTAGGGCTTTCATACTTCACATATGTAATCCTTGTGACAAGACCTTCCTTTGGATACCAACAATTGTAATCCATTGACCTTGACCTTGGTGTTTGAACTACTTTTGAAAAAACTTTAACCTTGGTCATAACTTTCGAACGATTGGTGCTTTGGCTTTCATATTTCACCTGTGTATTTCTTGGGAGAAGGCCTTTATTTGGGCACCATCAATTTTGACCTTGACCTTGATGTTTGACATACTTTTGAAAAAAACTTTAACCTTTTCTATTTCTATTCAATGGTTGTTGCTAGGGCTTTCATATTTCACAGGCACATTCTTAAAGACAAGACTTTATTTTGGGTACCAACATATTTGATTTGCGTTTGAGAAAGTTTAACCTTTGCTATAAGTTGCCACACAGGGGCATCAGTGTTTCACAAACACATCTTGTTTTTTCATATTTTTACATGTCATGGAATGTCAATTTGCGGTAGTTTATTACTCTGTTTTCACACAGGTACTTGTGGACAGCCCCCCCCCCCCCCGAAATTCAACCCCGGGGCTTGTTGGACAAATTTTTTCACAAATAATATTTATTACACTTATTCATCATGTGTACCATAAGAAGAAATCGGGAAAACTGCTAAATAATCGTTCCACACAAAAACACCCCACTATACATTATAAGAGAGAAAGGTTCTCTCTTATAAAATGTTGCACAAAAAGACAAGCCCCGGGGTTGAATATTGGGGGGGGGGGGGTCCTGTCCACAAGTACCTGTGTGTTTTCACGGCAGAAAATACAAGTATTGAAATAAAATATATTAATAATATACTACGGATGGCTTTAAAAACCCGGAACGAACTAGTAAGTTATGAAATTAAAGAAAAATTTCAGTAGTTCGGTGAATGTAAATATATTGACATGTTGTAAATTTTGTATTTGCTGCCACCCGGTAAATTCAAAATTTACAGCATAACAGTATAATTATATATACGTCCTATCAGTTCGCCTCTTTACTCAGAGATGTATCTTAATTCAGATTACAAGCCGAAGATTACAGCAGAATGTATAACTGGTTCCATCACGGACCCGGAAGTGGTCAGGAGAGCTGTGAAGAAAGTGGACTGTGTGATTCACTTAGCAGCGGTCATCAGTGTCGGGACATTCCCCAATGTCAAGGCCATGAAGGAGGTCAATGTTAAAGGTTACAATAATTGACAAGTATTATAGATGCAATTCTTTGAAATAAAATGATTATAATAGATATCATTTTATGTTTCAGATTAAGTTTTAAAAAATGAGACATATACGGTGTACATTATATCAATGTTCCGAAATATTTATATTTGAAGAATATTCTTATGATCAGATATATGCCTGTTTTCCCTTCCTAGGAACAACTTTGTTATTAGAAGCCTGTGTGGAGTCCAATGTTGGTATCTTTATATCCTGCTCTACACAGGATACGGCCTTAGATATGTCGGACCAATCAAATATTGACGAGACGTACTCTGTGGAACCACACAATCTCTGCTTCGGAGATTATGCAAGGACAAAATTAGAGGCAGAGCACATCGTACTAGGAAAACACGGAACACCTCTAAATAATGGTAGAAATGAATAAGTGGGCTTTGTTCCTTTTCCTTAACAATTAACTTCCAGTTGAAATGATTTAATATATCTGTTCTGAAATAAAAATGTTTCTTTTCTCCTGGGGATCATTAGTTACTAAGAAATTTGCACTTTGAGATTTTCTTTTTTATTGGTTTCTTTCATGGATTTATGGATGATCCATGAAAACACGCATTTATAGATATGAAGAAATGAATATAGGTATTCAATATTGTTTCAGGTGAACGTTTACGAACGGTTGTACTTCGGCCAGGAGTAATGTATGGAGAACTTGACCCTATTTTTGTGACGGCCGTCATACATGCTACCCGCAAACAAGGTGGCGTTCTGTATCACTTTGGTAATCCTAATTCATATTGCCAAAACGCATATGTTGGCAACATGGCATGGGGATTTGTTTGCGCCTTAAATAAACTATATCACGATAAGTCGGCAGGGGGAGAGGCATATTTCGTTGGAGACGAAACCCCTCTTATGGGGTTGTTTGAATTTAATGAACTCTTCATAAAACTTCATGGAGGTGAACTGGCAAGAAGACCAATTCCTTATCTACTGATGCTGACCATTGTTCTACTGTTGGAGTGGATTGTTTGGTTAATATCCCCTTTAAAACAAATAAACTTACCCGTAACTTCATCAACAGTTCGATACACAAACAAAAAGTGGAGTTACTCTTATGAAAAAGCCAAAAAGGAACTGGGTTATTCCCCTTTGTATAACTGGGAAGACAGTTATCGTCGATCTAGCGAGTTCTACAAATCCATAAAATGACTTAAACAGTTATGAATATATCTATTAACTATAAAGATATAGAAACACCTTTTATTAGTTCCTGTAAAATATTAAAGACTTAGTTTCACTTTTGTTCGTTTTGGCAAGTCGAACAAAAATTAGTTCATCAGAAAATTATCTCCCTTGCTTTGAACAGCATTTCAGCCAATGAAATAATTGGAAATGTTTACATCATGCATTTTCTACCAATCACAAAAGAGAGGTAGTACATAGTCCGAAGACTGTAATATACTTCAACTGTGTATACCGTTCCAAGTAAGACGGTAATCAGTCACTGAAAATTTGCAACACACACACACACACACACACATCCTCACACACACACACACACATACACACACACACACACACACACACACACACACACACACACACACACATATATATATATATATATATATATATATATATATATATATATATATATATATATATATATATATATATATATATATATATCTTGCACCATTGCTCATAATTTTCACTAATGATGCTGACATACTAGTATATGAACTTATAAAAAAAAAATACACACTAACAGGTACCTATCTTCTAATTGTACCTATCTTCAATTCAATTATACCTATCTTCAAATCAATTGTTCCTATCTCCAAATGAATTAAAGATAGGTATGAATTAAACCTATCTTCAATTCATTTGGCGATAGGAACAATTGATTTGAAGATAAATACAGATATTTAAATATATGTTAATTTGGCGTTCCATATTATGAAACTTGTATCGTAAATTAATCCATTGTTCAGACTTCGTTCCGATGATTGTTACAGTGCAGAATAAACTTGTGTGACGTCTGGTCTGAAAAAAATATTCTTAATGTATCTAATATATCGGGCATGTTTCATGTTTGTTATTGTTTTTTTCCCCTACTAGTGTTAAGACTGAAATAAAATAATAGTGTTCTGATCAAATCTAAACAAAATGCACGTATTACTAGCCTCTTTCTATTTTAGTCTTCTTGTGTATATGAATAGGGCTTTTATGAAAAAAAAAATGTCGGGGAAATTTTTAATGTGTATGTATTTTGATATGCGATCAACCGATAAATCGGTCGGTAAGCGATTGGTAATTACATGTGTATGTATTCGAGTGGCATCCCGAGAGAGAGAAAATTTTTCTGAACAAAAGACATCACATTTTGCAATGTTGAAATGTACTCCTCGGCACTACTACAAGAAGAGTCTGGATGTCACTTACTCTTCAGCACGATATACACGTGCTCCTCAGCATCATAAAATTTTGGTTGAAAAGTGCACCTCAGCACCATTATAGCTTGGTTGACACGTGCTCCTCAGCGTCATTAAAGTTTTGTTGAAAAGTGCGCCCCAGCACCCTCATAGCCTGATTGACACGTGCTCCTCAGCACCATTATAGCTTGGTTGACATTTGCTTTTTTTTGCACCATTTTGGCCAGGTTGATAGGCGCACCTAAAGACCATTATAGAATAGTTGACAAGAGCCCTCTTAGCATTACAGCCTGGTTGACAAGTGCTCCTCAGCACCATTATAACCTGGTTTGTAATGTGCACGAGTGTAGATAGTTGACAACATAAATAAAGCTCCTGGGCCGCTGTTAAGCATGGTTGACAAGTGCTTCTTGCACCACTATAAATTGGTTGATAACTTGATAGATGCTCCAAAAACCATTATTAAATGGTTGACAAGAAATCCTCGACACCAGTACAGTCTGTATGATTGACAGGTGCTCTTCAGCACCATTAAAGCCTGGTATGATAAGTGCTCAGCACCAGTAAAGTGTGGTTGACAGGTGCTCTTCAGCATCATTAAAGCCTGGTATGATAAGTGCTTAGCACCAGTAAAGTGTGGTTGACAGGTGCTCTTCAGCACCATTAAAGCCTGGTTTGATAAGTGCTTAGCACCAGTAAAGTGTGGTTGACAGGTGCTCTTCAGCATCATTAAAACCCGTTTTGATAAGTGCTTAGCACCAGTAAAGTGTGGTTGTCGACAGGTACTGATTAGTACCATTAAAGCCTGGTTTGATAAGTGCTTAGCACCAGTAAAGTGTGGTTGACAGGTGCTCTTCAGCACCATTAAAGTCTGGTTTGATAAGTGCTTAGCACCAGTAAAGTGTGGTTGACAGGTGCTCTTCAGCACCATTACAGTCTGGTATGATAAGTGCTTAGCACCAGTAAAGTGTGGTTGACAGGTGCTCTTCAGCACCATTAAAGCCTGGTTTGATAAGTGCTTAGCATCAGTAAAGTGTGGTTGACAAGTGCTTCTTGTACCACCATATATACATGTTTGATACGTGCTCCAAAAGACAATTATAGATTGGTTGGCAATTGTTCCTCAGCACCAGTACAGCCTGGTTGACAGGTGCTCCTCAGCACCATTAAAACCTGGTTTGACAAGTGCTCAGCACCTGTAAATCACGGTTGACAATTGTTTCTTGTACCACTTTTACTAGTGCTTTTAGAAATAATGTATAAAACTGTGCTGACATAAATTTGTATTATTAGACGGTTCCCAGATATTCTGAAATATAAACTCAGAAGTAAAATTACAATGCTACACAAAATCCAATTGTAAAAAAAACATTTAGTCAAAGGACTGTGACAAGTTGAACAACTCTTTAATTTTTTTTAATAATTATGTAGCTGATGACAGGACTGCAAAATCATTGTCCGTGGTCGTAACAGTCGAGTGATGATAAAAAAAAAATACGGCATTACTTGGATGTTTCCCGCATACTGAAAATTCTCTAACATTTCACCACGGAAACATTATTGTTCTCAGACTGTACATAATCACAAACTACATCTGTGAACAATACGTGTACTGTGTTTTAGACAAAATTATTCAATATCACCAAAGTTTTACGTTAAACATGATATATTTCATGTAAGTACATGTTTATTGATGTTGCTCCAACATTATTCACTCCTCATCAAGATAGTACATTGTGGAAATATACGTTGTTTACGCATGACTACTGTTACATGTAAAAGGAAGGGACTTTGAATACCTACTACTCAACAAAAATCCCGCTCATTAAACAGTTCAAAACGCACGTGAGCATACGCTTTTCTTGTGCAGTTGGTAGTTTGGTAGCTCCATTGACGGTACTTAGTCCAGCAATGGTCAGGTGCCTAACTTTTCTTGCTATTTTGCTGACTGTATGGGGGGTTACCTCGGCTTCCTATAGTTGGAGTGGACCGACAGCGGCGGCAAAGTGTGATAAGGAGGCTAAAGCACTCCGCAGTCTCATTGCACAGATGAAAAACACTGTCGTTCTTCTAAAAAAACAATTGGCCAAAATTCATTATGGCGCCATAAAAGGTAATTTCTTGAAAAGAATTATGTTATTTCTGTTATTTTAGCGGTGTTTAACAAACTTATGGCGATATTGACCGCCGTCATTTAATATGTTTATGAGGCACGTACACTGTGTATATGGAAACTTTTGCCCCATTTTATTTTTACCCATGTCACAAATACACGAATTCAAATTCAAACAAAGATTCCGCGCAGCAAACATTTTTTTGGATACTACAAGTAATGTTTTGTCACTGGAGGGCGTGGTTTTATCATTCGTAGGGTAACAGTGTATATTTCTCGAGGAATAAGATTCAACAAATTTACATGAAAGAATAATTAAAATATAATAATAATATAATATTTACAAATATTGCATTTCGTCCCAATAATGTTTAAGTATAAACCGATGAATCATCTAGACATGGTGGATTTCTCAGTAAGCTCAGATAGGCATCCTGAACCCGGGGTCTCTTGTTTAACATATCCAAGTGTAGTTACTAAGGAAAGATAAAGCAAATGGAAGAAAATTGTGAACGGGCAATTCTGGTGCCAATTTGAAGAAAACTTTGTCTTATACAGAATTTTAACCTTTTGAAAAAAAAGTTATAAGGTTATGAGTATATTTTTATTACTTTTTCAACAGTGGAATACTGTAATTGTTCTATTTAATGAAAGGGATATTTTTGAAAGGGATATTTTTCTCATTGAAAAATACCAGAAGTGATATTTTCCACTTTGTACAGGATGTGTTTGTGAAACACTGATGCCCCCGTATTGCAGCTTATAGCGAAAGTTAAACTTTCTCAAAAGCAAACCAAATATGTTGGTACCCAAAGTAAGGTGTTGTCCCGAGGAATATATCTGTGCAATATGAAAGCCCTAGCAACAACCATTGAAAGATATGAAAAAGGTTAAAGTTTTTCGAAAGCAAGTCAAACATCAAGGAAAATTGTCCAAGGAAAGACCTTCTCACAAGAAATACGCGTGAAATTTGAAAACCCTAGCACCAACCGTTCAAAAGACATGGCCAAGATTAAAGTTTTTTCAAAAGTAGGTCAAACCCCAAGGTCAAGGTTAAAGGGTCAAAATTGTTGTATCCAAAGTAAGGTCTTGTCACAATGATTACATATGTGAAGTATGAAAGCCTTAGCACAAAAGTAATGTCCAAGGTTAAAGTTCTCCAAAGTAAGTCAAACTCCAAGGTCAAGGTCAATGGAATATAATTGTTGGTACCTAAAGGAAAGGCATTCTCACAAGGAATACATATGTGAGGATTGAAAGCCCTAGCACCAACTGTTCAAAAGTTAAGGCCAAGGTTAAAAATTTTCAAAAGTAGGTCAAACTCTTAGGTCAAGGTCAAAGGGTCAAAGTTGTTGGTATCCAGAGGAAGGTTTTGTCACAAGAATAACACTTGTGAAGAATGAAAGCCCTAGCACCAACTGTTCAAAAGTTATGGCCAAGGGTTAAAGTTTCCAAAGTAGGTCAAACTCCTAGGTCAGTGTAAATGGGCTATAATTGTTGGTATCTTAAGGAAGATCATGTCACAAGGAATACACAAGTGAAGAATGAGAGATCTAGCACCAATTGTTCAAAAGTTATGGCCAAAGTTAAAGTTTTCAGGTCAAACTCAGAGGTCAATGTCAAAGAGTCAAAATTGTTGGTATCCCAAGGAAGGTCTTGTCACAAGAATAAAATATGTGAATATGAAAGCCCTAGCACCAACTGTTCAAAAGTTATGGCCAAGGTTAAAGTTTTTCAAAAGTAGGTCAAACTCCTAGGTCAAGGGCAAAGTGTTAAGGAGGGATTCTTGTCTGGTTTCTGACTAGACGAAATAATCCAAGTATATTTGCTTGTGTGTCGTATAAACTTAGCTGTAATGTATTTAAAAGATCATATTTTTCTTTACTCATCATAATTGTACATTTTAAATAGAAATGGTAAACTGAGTTTGAAATCCATAAGGGACTATATTTTTGGTGGAACGGCGGCGTATGAAAATATCTCCTTTTCTGCCTATCAAAATCACTTACAGAACATTACATTTGGTTAATTTTTTTAAACAATCAAAGACTTGAAGAAATTTTGATATGTAACTAAAATTAATAATAATGCCTTAAAGTTTTAAAACATAGCAAATAAAAATGATTTTCTAAACAAACTACAATCTTGTTAGCTTTTGAAAGCCGCCAACCTTAAAACAGATTTGAGCAAAAAATCAGTAAAAAGTGTTTTTTCTCTCTTACTAAACGGTCAAATCTTTTTGTTTTTGTATCACTTTGTATATTTCTATGATTTCTTTACCATATGTAAAAATAAGAAATATCTAAATATAAGTAGTACAATATATAAAAATAACTAATATATCCTAAAAAAAATTAAGAAAAACATAGGAAATCCGGATTAGCCAATATCTATTTAAGTTAAATAATGTCAATTAATTTGGTAGAATCATCTGATAGACCTGATATGGTAACATCTTTCTGTGCAAAAAGAAAAACATTTTATCTTTTAAAATAGAAGTAGGCATCACATGATTAACAACAGTATTTTTTTACTCTAAATGTCAAGGAAAAAGATAATGACCTTGTTTCTAAAATAAAACGGTCAAATTGAATCTAATTGATACCATCACTTAGTGATATTGTCTTCTTAAATCTATGAAAATTTCATTAATTTTTAAATACAAGAAATATGAGTACAATAAGAGAAGAATCCCTCCTTTAAGATGTTGGTACCCAAAGGAAGATCTTATCACAAGGATTACACATATGAAGGATGAAAGCCCTAGCACCAACTGTTCAAAACTTAGGGCCATGGTTAAATTTGGGTAAAATTTTGTAAAACTGGGTTAAACTCCAAGGTCAAATATGATGGAACCCAAAGAAAGGTCTTGTCACAAGGCATACACATGTGAAATTTGAAAGCCATAGCTCCAATTAATCAAAAGTTATGAGTAATGTTAAAGTTTTTTGCAGACAAACAGATAAACAAACAGACAGACGGACAGGGCAAAAACTATACACGCTGAATCTTCGATACGGGGGCATAAAAATCAAAAGAAGGAAAACTTCATTTTCTTAACGAAGAATGTTATAAAGAAAATACTTCCTGTAACGATAACTAGAGTAAGTAAACCACCCTGACACAGAGCTAAAGTTTCTCCAATTTGTTGTTTCATGTTTACATTTTTTAATCGCTATGACGTCTAACAACTGCTCAACTATGACATCACAGTCTACAATACTGAATTGCCAAAGAAAAAAAAAGAATCAAAAGAAAAATCAAAGAAAATGTAATAAACAGAAAATCAATATTTTGTAGTTGGATTTGGCAATTGTTTCACTTGTGAGACACGATTATGGATATTTTCACGCGTGCGAAACAAGAAATATGTCTCACTCGCGGAATAAATTTCCATATCCAACAAAGCTGGTCATTGAATATCCTATATGTATTTGGTTTACTGCACAATAAGCTGTGAAATGCTTGTCGAATCTTTTTCTATCAAAATTAGTAAATAGGAATATTGAAACGTGTAACAATTATATGTTATCAATTTTTTTGAGTAAGGGGTTTTTTCAAACTGAGGTAGAGCTAGGGACGTTTGACCCGCCTCAAAAATACAAATTGTATTTAATTAATTCTGAGTAAATGTTGCAGGTCCTAAAGGAAGCCCAGGGCATCCGGGACATAAGGGACCACGCGGCATTCCAGGAATGAAGGGCGAAAGGGGTGATCCAGGTCCCATTGGGCCAAGACCATATGAAACAGGATATCCTGGCCATAAAGGACCTAGAGGGGATCCCGGGGATCAAGGAAAATTTGGACATAATGGGAAAATGGGTGAACAGGGCGACCAGGGAGAAAAGGGACCAAAGGGATATCGAGGTCCAAAAGGTCCCAACGGTGTTAGAGGAGATCCGGGAGAGAAAGGAGACAAGGGTGACCCGGGAAAACAAGGCATTAAAGGTATAAAAGGATCAACAGGGGACCTAGGACCAAAAGGAGTTACAGGAGATATTGGGGAAAAAGGACTGGTTGGACCTAAAGGCATTAGGGGCGAAAAGGGTGAGATAGGAGACCAAGGAAAACAGGGCAAGAAGGGTTTGAAGGGTGAAAAGGGGCAAAAAGGAAACAAGGGACCTAAAGGTAACAAGGGACCAACTGGAGACATGGGTCCAAAGGGGATGCAGGGAGAGAGGGGTCCAAAGGGATTTAGAGGACCTAAGGGAGAAAAGGGTAGAAGGGGTGAGAAGGGTGATCCAGGAAACATGGGCATGAAGGGGGAACGTGGAGACAAAGGTCCAAAGGGCATGAAAGGGGTTAAGGGACCCGAGGGAGATATGGGTAACCCAGGAGACATGGGGTCTAAAGGACACAAAGGTGGAAAGGGAGATCGTGGAGAGAAGGGCGATCAGGGTGAAAAAGGGGAGACAGGAGACCAGGGACCACCTGGAGATAAAGGCCTCACGGGGGATCCTGGCTTTCCCGGCGATAAAGGACCCCCTGGACACAAGGGACCAAAAGGTGTCAAAGGGCATGTGGGACCAAAAGGGGGAAAAGGCGACCCAGGCCTCCCATGGACACCAGTGACACCAGTGTATCCATCAAAACCAGTCAAGCCAGTGAAACCAGACTATCCATCGAAGCCAAGCCACAAAGGAAAAACGGTTAAGCCATCTCCACAAGGTCACACCGAGGGTCCAGACTATCTACCCAATGCATTCACATCATTACATGATGATTATTTAAATGACTTCTATCGCTAAAATGCTATGATAGTATTTATGTTATATACAACCTCAATCTTATAAATAATTGAACAAAAATACATAAACAGTCATGTATTTATATATTAAGAAGAATATATATTTGATAATATATATTTGAAGTCAATACTGACGCATCTTATTTTTTCTCGATAAGAAAATTCTTAAATTCATTTGAAATTCTATAATTAACAAGTTAATATTTATAATCATTAAATACTAGACAGATCTTAACTGTACGAAGAATCAAAGTAAGTTGTGTCACCATTTGTGACGTCATTCCGATTTCATGCAGCACAAAAACTGCAAATAAAAGTCCAGTGGTAATATCATATGCGGACTTTGAGAGTCTATGAAAATTATAAACATTCATTTCTTCCTTTTTAATTTTTAAAAAGAAAAATTATTAATATTGATTATGAAGAACAAAGAAAAGATAAAAAGAAAAGAAAAGAAAACCATTAGATCACAATTAAGTACAATTGTACATTGTATCTTGTTAACTCTGCTCGTTTCAAAATGAGTACACTGTATTGAAGGTCAAAAGACACGTTCCTCAATGATGAGTAATTTTTCCCAAGGACTTTTAATTGAATTTTTATTGCTTTAAGAAGTTCTCTTCTCAAAAAAAATTAAATAAATAAAAATACTGAGATATATTACCAGGCATATGTACTATATACATAAAGAATAAAAAGTTGGGGGATGTTGCATCGTAGAAGCTGGGTTCTGTCCACAAGTACCTGTGATCTTTCAGGGTATGCATGAACAATTCATGGAGAGAGAATGGTGAACACTTTTGTAAAGAATTCAAGTGAAAATGTCTTCTTGTATAAGTAGACAGATTAATTTATATCACTGTATCTTTAATTTGCTATTTTTTTTTCCGTATACATGTATGTTCAACATTGTTTATTACGTAATACCCGGTATAAAAATCACATGTACATTTTAAATCCCAGGTATTTTGCAGAGTATACTTTTTCTTTAAGGGAGTGTTTCACCATTCTCTCTCCATCAGGATTTTTAAAAAGAAAAATGTCATTCAAATGAGTTATGCACAGTTATACTCATTTTAGATGAAAGACTTGAACTCGACTTTCTCCGGAAATTTTACTTTAATCCGAGTACAAACGTATCAGGGATGGGATACTTGTGCTCAGTAATCCTAATCCGCTGTAATCGATTACAGTAATCCTAATCCGCTGTAATCGATTACAGTAATCATAATCAGCTGTCATCGATTACAGTAATCCTAATCAGCTGTAATCGATTACAGTAATCCTAATCCTCTGTAATCGATTACAGTAATCCTAATCCGCTGTAATCGATTACAGTAATCCTAATCCGCTGTAATCGATTACAGTAATCCTAATCCTCTGTAATCGATTACAGTAATCCTAATCAGCTGTAATCGATTACAGTAATCCTAATCCTCTGTAATCGATTACAGTAATCCTAATCAGCTGTAATCGATTACAGTAATCCTAATCCGCTGTAATCGATTACAGTTTGCTGAGTAATCATAAGTAATAAGTAATCGTCCGGGTTTTTTTTCTGATTACAAATAATCGTAATTTAATCAATATTACTCTGAAAAAGGGTCCTGTAATACTTTTTGACTACTTTTATGATTACAATGGTAAAAATGAAGTGCATAAATTCAAGTACATTGTTGAGATTCACCGATTAATTTTCAGTCTAGAAATGAGCCTTTAGATATAAACAGTATATCTGATTCTCCTATATATATTGTGTTCGGGCATCTTTAAATCTATGACCATTGAACCATACAGTGTGTACTCTCAAAATGTTTTGCAATTCATCTAGTGCGTTTAGATATTATTGTCATATATTTTTGACTGCGATATATACATATGTACTTTTTAAATTTTGGAACTGTTATATCGCTGTGACCCTTTATACAATAAGAAAAAGGTAATGGTAAGGTAGTGATTGATAAAAAGATAATGAACATTGATCGATCTCAAAAAAATCTACAAACAATACAACTCAATCCTAGTGGGGTAATGTCGAGATACTTTACACAAATATAATTTGATTTTCAAATTATATTTGTTTAAAGTATCTCGACATTAGCCGGGTAGCCTATTTTAAACAAGGCAATAATTATTTAATTCGTTACTTAACGAGCCGTTATAACAAGTTATTTATCTTGATACAATAAGTTAGTTACATGTAGCTCACTATACATGTATATACGAAATATTTATACCTTGTTAAAAATGTTTAAAAATCGTAGAATACATATACATATTTCATTTGATGATATGGTGAGAATTAGGTGTAAAAGACAAAGAAAGAGAGATAGATAGATATATTTATATAGGGCTTTATTATACTGGTTTGTTTTAATTAATCTCTTTCTATTTTGGAACTTATTCCTCCCCAAAATAGAGGAATGCAAGTCCTTGGAGAGAGTAGGGGAGGTGCGGTACTTTTGATTGGCTTGTATGGAGGGTAATCGTGTTCAAAAATCCAAAGTGTAAATTCACAATTTGTGAGATTGAAAATTTCTCCGGGGTGTGAGCTTTTTACCCATTCAAGTTCTGTACGGATTGTCTCTCTTGCCAACATTTTCTGTAAATTGATCCGAGAATATCGAAGCAATTAATCCAATTCAAATAAAGTTTAGAGGTCTATTCAATGGACAATTTGTGTTAAATCTACTCTGTAAATAGTTTCGATGTTTCTTTTGTTTGTCTTCAATTCAAACAGATTTTAGCACACTGTCTACGTCACGCTCAAAGTTTAATTCCCTAAAACTCTTTTAACAACATTTTGTAAGCTTGGCGTTAGGGGAGTGATCTGAAATCTACAATACCGTGATTTTCATTTCAAAGGATTTTGAATAATTCACAATTATTTTAAATAATTTTTATTTTATTATCACTGGCAGGACAATTTATAGCAAAGTATTAAATCAAAATCCTTTTCCAAGGTATTCGGCCATTTTATTTTTTTTTTTGGGGGGGGGGGGTGTCCTTGATCTAAAAACATTTTCCAATTACACTCAGTTAAAATCAAATTAAGGTTTGACGACACGTCCATATTATTATGTAGTATGGGTGGATGACTGCATGCCTTTATGAAATATTAATGATATCTTCCACTAAGATAAGAATTTTATATTTTTAAAGGTATCCATGCCTTAAAAATTGTATCATTAGGGCTGCTACAATACAGTCTTCTAAGTCAAAAGTTGTGTATCGTGAAATTTGTACAATGTTTTGTTTATATCAGAGGAATACTAGTAGTATTTTAAACGTTAATTAGACGTACTAACTACTTCATAATTCATAAAAAATTACACATCTACCAATAACAACATGTTTCTTCAATTACAAGTTTTTTCTTCTTTTACAAATGTAACCATTCAATTCAAATCAGACAAATATTGTATTTGTAGTTGCGATTCAAAAATCGCTTACAAAACGACATGAACATGAACGCCTTATCCTTTAGCAATATAGGCCCTCTTCTGGCCTTTCACTGAGCTAAGAAAAACTACATTTGTATTACCATCATGAAACAATGGAGAATAAAGTCACAAACAACTGCAGTGACGTCAATAATAGCGTCTTCCTACATCATGTTCTTTTGAAGAATATCTTATATATGGAAGGATTCTCATCTTTCCGATCTTTTAAGCATAGGTGGACATAAGAAGTAGATTTTAGCATTTCGTGAAATATTTGAAAGGAAGAATAGAAAATCATTGTGTGACTGTTCGACGCATCACAGTTACGCCTAAAATCAAGTATATGATAGTTGCAATTGTTGCTAAAACAATAAAAGCACAAAAATAACGTTCTAATTTCACGGCAAACCGTTTCCATCGATCTGCATCATAAGAATCAGATCCCTGGTTGTTATGGAAATATTTATGAAAAGAATGGTCGTCCCTCGACTCAGCTGCTGGTGTATATTCCTTGAAATAAATTTTAATGACAATAGTTTCCAAAATGATTGTCAATCCACTAATTATCAACTGACCTGCTACATAGTTACCAAACATAGATAGGTTCACGGAAGACTTTGGCATAGAGTCGCTTATGAGTGTTACAAACACTGCAAAGGTTAGAAATATGGCCAGGACCATTCCCATTTTCTCTCCAGACTCTATTGGTAACAGGAAGGAAAGAAGGTTCAATACTGACAAAATAAAAATTGGGATGAAAATATTAATTATGACATAGCTAGGGCGGCGCTTTAGAATAACATTTAGGCGTGCTGTGCGCACAACAGATCCCGGCATTCTGTCATCCAGAGGAAATGATTTGGAAGTTGACAGGACTTCCCATTCTTCATTTTTTTCGAAAAAAGTTAAGTCAAAGCCAGTCATATTGGCTGAGTAGCCAAAATCATGGGCTATGTTTGAATAAGGATAAAAAATGTACGTACAAATTTGTTCATCAAAAGGATAAGCAGTAACGTCTAGTTTACACTGTATCGTGCTCTCAAAGGGCTTCAGGTAATACACAAAACCGTTGTAAATCAGGAAAGCCATTCCCTTTTCGTCAAAGTTTAAACATTTTTTATCTGTGAGTTCGTTGATGATGCATATCCCAGGTATCCATATTTTATCAATATTAACGCGAAGCCCGGTAATTCCGTCATAATTAGATGAATTCCACATCAGATTTTCATCTTTCCAGTTGTAACCGATCCACAATGAAGTAGAAAACGTTTGCAACCTTTCGTCCACTTCACGTATAAGAAAAGGAAACATTTGTACTCCTACTATTATATCGTCTGTGTAGTTTTTCACTGGCTTCAGCTGCGTATCGTAGCCATTAAACAAGTCTGTTAACAGTCTTTTTTCTGTATTCGAAGAAGAACTTAACCCAAGGTATAGAGAGCTGACAAAAAGAAAGGTGAGTACTCTCATTCTTTTGACGTATATTCTCCCCATTTTTAGAATTAAAACTTGCTGGTGCACTCTATGTGTCACCTTTCCAGCTTACAGGTTATTTCAGAATTAAATACCTTTTGCTAGTCGTGGTTGAGTTGAGCACCGGATATTTTGACAATCAACTTTTTCTCGGCTTTTTAAACAGAGATTTCTTTCTTCGTTGACCAACATTTATATAGGACACATGGGTATATAATGGGCTTGCTTTAAAAACCATAATCCTTTTAAAAACTACCCAACACTTTTCAAAAGAATGGGCTCCATAAAAGATAAGAAAACACTGACAATTACAAATGACAAGGCCCTTATGAACAATGTTCATTTCTAAGTAAGATTAAACTCTCGATCATCTTTGATTCTGTTAGAAGTTCTGTAATCCTTATAGGATTGCACGTAAGCTCTAGGTCTTCTAGAATTTTATACCAACATTTTAAACCTTTTTTTCATTCACAAATTTACAATATTTAAAATTTAGGTAGAGAGTTTCAATGTCATTAAAACCAGGCTTAAATGTTGTTGACATAACTGAGAGTTGGCATCATTCTTTATTCATACTTTTCTTCAGAATAGGTTGAGTTAAAACTGAAAAAGGAGAAAAAATAGCAGCAAAATTACGTCTTCAATGCAGAGTGTATTTGTCCTAAAGAATCGCTTTTCTTGAGTCTCTCGATTAAAAAAGAAGGTGCATTCACACTTGGATTTGTTACATTTCTGTTTCGAAAAGTTAAAACGAATCCCCTTTTCATTGAGATAGAAAGGCTTAACATATTGATGATTTTGAAATATTTTTAGAGGTTTTCTTTTATAATGAAAGTCGCTATATTTTGACATTTTTTTTTCATATTCTATATTCAGTGTTACAGGTAAAACTTGTCTAATTCGGATGTTGTGTATTCCCAAACCTTGTCTAATACGATGTACTGAGTATTGTCAGATATGTCGTCAAACTGAGGATAAGTGAGACACCAATTTTTTTTTAATGAATAGTCAAGTTAAAGCTGTTGCAGCTGTCTTTTACAAAGTGGGCGTGTCTTTAAAAGACTGAAACTTTGCTTTAAATGCTTCGATTATTCTGAACGTGTAAATTCTGAAGGTGGATGTCGAAATGATCAAACTGCATAGATACTTCATCTCAAGTCTTGAAAATACATCCTCAGGGGGTTACTTGTAACATAGAGTTTAACTTTATCATTCCATAAAAAAGAGATCACAAGCAGTCCCCCAAACATATTGCTCTTCCCTTGAATCAAAATATGGATTGTTATCTAATATCTAATACGTCTATCTATTTTAACTATTGACCTAAAATTTCACTCAGATATATGCAATACTTTATAGAATATTAAAAAAAATTAACACAACACTGGGTCTCGTCTATCGCCGCACAGAAAGAATGTACCGACGTCGTAATGATGTTTCTATTCAACACAAATTTTGAATCTGATGATATACTAGTATAAGATTTACGCAAAAAGGAATGAATTTAGAAATAATATTTGGACAAAGTTTAAATAATTTTAATACTGCAACTCAAAACAAGACCATTTATAGCAAAATTACAGTAAAGATTATTAAAAAGAAGTATACATGTAAGAGGTTAAAAAGATATGCTGATGAACTGAAATTGAGTGTCGTAAAGTAACGTCATAACGACGTCGGTAACATTCTAGTCGTGCGGCGATAGACAAAACCTATCGTTGTTTATGTCTTAATATTTTAAAAAGTATTTTATATAATAGAATGAAAATGTAAAGCAAAAATCAAAATAGGGATATTAAAACTATTAATATGTCAAACTTTGTCGATAACATTTGATTATGAAAGATTTTATAGCAGTTGTTCATGGCCGTAGGAACCGGGGGGCACGGGGGGGGGGGGGCTGTGGTCCCCCCCCCCCCCCAATAATTTTGCCGATATAAAGATTACTATAGAAAACAGAGCTACTATATGCTTGTGCCCCCTCAATAAAAACGTATGATGACCTTTTTTTTTTTTTTTTTTTTTGATTGTCAAGGAATTTTTGGTTGATAGTACCCCCTCAACTGAAAACGTATGGCTGTGCCCCCCCTCCCCCCCCCCCCCAAACTGAAATTGCTTCCTACGGGCCTGTTGTGACATTACTTTTCGATCAACCCTCGTATATTACTCTTGATAGTAGCTTTCTAGTATTGTCATGTTGACAGTTCTGAATTTACCAGGTGGCAGGGAATACACATTGTTAAGTTGTAAATTTTGTGTTTACTGTTACCTGGCAAATTCAAAATTCAAACAAGTTTGATAATTGTTTGTTATCTCCATATCCCATGCAGAAGTTTTTGAATGAATTCTGCTTCATAGGAATATAAAAACAGGTCGGCTAATAAAGGAGCACAATTAGTGCCTATCGAAATTCCAACAGGTTGTTGGGAGACCTGTTTTCCAAAGACTACATATCATGAAAATAGGGATGAAAACGTTTATTAGGACATGGTCGTTGTCTTAACACAATATGGAGACGAGCTGTTCGAATACGAAACGGTTTGTTCTATCGTCAATGAATGATGAAATAATTCCACATTCTTCATTTGTTTAAAAAAAGTGTCAAATCTATTTTTCTTATTCAAAGAAACTAAAGACATGATCTAGAGCGGTATAAGAATATATAATTTTAATGGAAATTTGTTCATCGACTGGTTATTAAGACGCCAAGTCTGCATTGAAGGGTGCTTTATAAAGGTTTATTGTAAACACTTTTCATAACTCAGTTCATTTTTTATGCAAACTTCATATGATTTTGGATTCCGTCACAAGTTTTCATCTATCCAGCAATTCATCTTATCCACAACAAAGAACAGAGTTTGAGCTCTTTCATCTACGCATCTACGGCTGCAATAATCATCGGCATCAGTCTCACCATAACACACAGATCCTGAATGTGGTTCTCTACTTTTGTCGTAACCCCCCCCCCCCCCCCCCCGTTTAGCAACTGTTCTTCATTCATGACATTTTACGCTTTAAAGATGCATTCATCAAAATGCAAGAATCGTCTCATTTTTTTTTTTATTTTCATTTTATCCAAACTTAGGAACAAGCAATATGTTTGGATTTCTTCCCGTTATTTCAAAGTGTGTGAGTATTGTAGTCCATTGTCCTGGTCAATTTCACGGGTTAATTCTATCGAAAAATGCATTAAGCTTTTGTAAATAAACTAATGTTTCTTTTGTTTGAATTAAACAGATTTCAAAAGACAAAGTATTTACATTCAAACCATTCCATTAAATCAAAGCCAAAAGAGTCTATTAGTATCATTTTCTTGAAAGAAAAGTATCCTTTTCCTGAGCACTGCAAATTTCAAGTGAAAAGAATAGGTGATAGTATTATTAATGAGAATTTACATGGATTTTTCCTTTCTTTACTCACAGAGGATTTATATATTTTTATATGACTAACTACAAGCTATGAAAATTTCTTACTGAAAAAACACTTATAAAAATTTGACAACCGCAGAAAATACCCGTTATAGAGTATATCAAATAGTAATTTTAAACAATGCACATTATAATGTCGAATGTAAATGATTACAGTGGTCTAATTTGCATATATCAAACTATGTAGACAAAAATATGTGGTCAAATTTCTTTTATATTCATCATAGAGATTTTGTGTCTTAGAACAGAATATCAAAATTTAAAAAAAAGGAATTTAAGAAAATATTGGCCTTAATTGATGCGTACCTATTATCATTTAACCACAATAACCAATCTAGCATCATTTTACCACTTTAAGCCCACCTGGCATCAGTTTACCATTTTAAGTGTACTTAACTTGGCATCATTTTACCACTTTAAGCCCACCTGGCATCAGTTTACTATTTTAAGTGTACTTCACTTGGCATCATTTTACCACTTTAAGCCTACCTGGCATCAGTTTACCATTTTAAGTATACTTAACTCGGCATCAGGTAACCACTTTAAGCCCACCTGGCATCAGTTTACTATTTTAGTTGTACTTAACTTGGCATCATTTTACCACTTTAAGCCCAATTGGCATCAGTTTACCATCTTAAGTGTACTTCACTTGGCATCATTTTACCACTTTAAGCCCACCTGGCATCAGTTTACTATTTTAAGTGTACTTAACTTGGCATCAGTTTACTATTTTAGGTGTACTTAACTTGGCATCAGGTTACCACTTTCAGCCAACATGGAAACATTTTACCCCTATTGCCAAAGTTGTCATTCATTCATTATAAATCAACCTTGTATCATTCAACAACTCTGGACCAATCTGGCATCATTCAGCTACTCGAAACTAATCTGGTATCATTTGATCCAGCATCTTTTATTCACTTAAAGCCCATCTGGCTTAAATTACAATTACAAACCTTCCTAGTATCAGTAAATATTCATAAACCAACTTGGCACCATTCAAATTCTGCAAAACAATGTGGCATTATTTAAAGACTAAAAATCAAAGTGCATCAATATAAACAACAATAATCCCATCTGCTAATATTTAACCACAATAATCCAAACTTGCATCCTTTAACCACTATAAGGCAGCCTTACACTGATTTACTATTGTAAGGTAACCTGGTATCATTTCGATCACTAAGTGTATTAAAAAACACACCTTCTTTTGTTTATAAAGAATTGAAAACAGGATAGTTTATTCAGAGTTGAATCTTAAGTCAGATAGAACTTAGAAAAAAATAATATCTGAGACTTCAAACAATAATAAAACTGATATAAAAATGTAAAAAATGATATTGAAGATGTTTAAGTTGATTCGTATTTCTTTTATTAACGACAAATAGTGAGACCTGTGTGTAGCCAATAAAAAAACTTCATGTTGTATGTGGCCTTCACAAAAGTCTGCAGAGCAGAGCGGCACCAAGGGATCACTTTACCCGGCGTCTGTCTGTCTGTCCGTCTGACACACCCTATATCTCAAGAACTGTAAGAGGTATGGATTTGATATTTTGCACATATATTGCTTGGCACTATGGCTTTTGTAAATTA